GCTGCTACTACTACTGCTACTACTACTGCTACTGCTGATACTGCTACTATTACTACTACTACTACTACTACTACTACTACTACTACTACTACTACTAGTACTAGTACTAGTACTAGTACTACTGCTACTACTACTACTACTACTACTACTACTACTTCTACTACCACAACCACAAACACCACCACTGCCACCACCGCCACCACCGCCGCTGTCGCTACTGATCCTACTCCTACTCCCATTCCTGCCCTACTCCTGCTCCTCCTCCTCCTCCTCTTCCTCCTCCCTCTCCCGCTCCTCACAGGTGCACAGAACGGAGGCGGTAATTGTGGCTTGCTGCTGGTAGTAGGCACCGTCCAGGTGATGGCCACCACGGTCATAGAAGAGGCATTTGTAAGACTCGATATCGAGACAATGAGCCCTCAACAGCCGCCTGTGGCCTCTAGTCCAGAGCGCCATACCTGCCTTACCTTTCATGCTTCAGATATCTTCGGACATATGACCTTCACGCCTTCCGGCCTTACAGACGGAGGCCGGGAATTTCTGGACTTGGTGTGTAAACTGCAGTTGCTGTTTTCTTGCCCGAGGTCGGTGCACCAGGCTTGATGGCTGTCTCGGGAGTTCGGGGATGACGGCTCATGCGAACCTCGCTGAGAACCTGGACAAACGATGACAACCCAAACCCCATGAAACTTAACGCTGGGCTCTCAACTCTAAACCCTCTACTTCCAAGTGCCCTTAACCAGAAGCCGTCGCGTCTTGGCTGTCTTTTGTCTTGAGTGGCTGTAGGCTGTAGGTCGGTGCTTTACTTGTGACTTGAGAGCGGCGGAAATTTAGGATTTGGAGGGTACTATACTGCATAGTTTAGCGCTTGGAAATTCGAAGGCGCAGAGCATTCAGGGCTGGTCGCAATGCTGGCCAGACTTGATGGAGCCACAATCATAGAACGATCATAAGTGCGCAGGGTCGGGGGTACAGGGTACAGAAACAGATGCTCTATGGGCCACCTGCAGCTTAGCGTTCTCTGACGAGCAATGCACCACAAACCCCACGCTAATGCGAACCTTAACCCCGTCACCCTAAGTCGCTGAGCCCTGAACCCTTTGTTTTCCTTCGAAGGGCGCTTGAGTTTTGACAGTGGCAGAGCAGCAAAGACCTAACTATACCTGTAAGTACTCCACGCTCACCATAGAAGCAACAGTGCTCTCAACATTCTCTCATAGTCCCATCCTGACTACCCTACAATAAGTATGCCCAAACTGTAGCTTCCTATCGATCTTCAATCACTTGAGGCACATGTAGCATCTTGCCCGATACTGCAACCAAGAACCGAAGCCTCAAGAAGCAAGCAATGTTGAACATGTGCAACCCATAAAGGCCCTGGCACTCGCTCGCATCCTAAAGCCGCTAACAAATTTCTAAACCCTAAAGCCCTAAACCCATCGACAATCCTTTTTGGCCAGAACCCCTAAGTCCAAGTCTTGGAGTCTGCCAAAACAAAGTAGCCGGAGCGACGGTCGGGCTCTGTGTCCTGAGCTGAAAGAATAGATTAGAGCTGAAGCTGTACTGCGATGTCAGCTAAGTCCATTGCAAAAGGAGCTTGCGAACCTGAGACTAAACCCAGAAACACGCAACTTAGGTTTGAAGAGTTAACATTGAATCTTGGAGCCATTATAAAATTTTCCATTTCGGAAACCTGCAGTCGAACCATACCCATCAAAGCGGAGTCGATGGAGGCATTAGACCGCAAGTTTGCCCATGCGTGGTTCCCTAAAGTAGGGTCCCTTTTGGGGGATCCTTTTTCTTCGGGCGCCGTACTATTTTGGGGACCTACAATGGGGACTCTAATTTAGAGAACTTGCCACATGGACCCCTTGCCTCCAAACATGGCTACTGGGGCCCAGAACTTCCCTGAAAAGAAGCGTGACGCACTCCGCGTCTCCCTGACAAACATCTACTACACCTACCGGCTTGCAAACTTCCTATCCATTAGAAACCCTAAACCCTAAACCCTAAACCCTAAATCATTAGGAGGTCTCCGGCAGTCTGCCTACAGCTTCCTGAACGCGATAAAGCAACTGCTGCGGTCCTGGTGAGCCAGCTGGTTGCTGGCATGTGCAAGCTAAAGTTTTAGGATGAGGCCACAGCACCCTCAAACCTCCATTGTGCGGAAAGCAGTGGTTGTTGATTCCCTGAGCGGGGCTTTGGCATGAGAAGGGTTTGGAAATTCTGCCCTCTGAAACTGACCAAACTTCGATCGCCATACACCCTGAGCAAACAAGACAGCTTGACCTGAGACACCCTAGGCCCCTAAGAGAATGACACCAAGAGCCCTGCTTGACATGTAGCCTCTAGTGCGGGACAGGCTGCACACAGTCCCTCAGCAGCCCATTGTGGGCAATTCGAATCATAGTCGATGAGCTCGTTTGCCGCCAGCAAGCAGAATGCCTGTTCTGATCTTGCTGTTAGGTGTTTAGGGTCCCGGCTTGGCAGTTTAGGCTTAGACTTTCGCATGTAGGCAAAGGCCCGGAGACGGGTGCGTCCTTGAGCATTTCGGATGAAAAGTCGGGGATTCAGGAGCGATGTTGACAAGTTGATGATGATCCTTTATGGCTTAGGCCATCATGGAGGGATTGGCGATGACGGTACATCGTGCTGATGCTGGCGCTTGCTAGACGATGCTTTTTGCTGCCACGATTGTGCCTTTCAGTCTTGCAACTTCTGGTTGCCACTCGTATCTAGCCGTCTAGCCCACCCCATGACCGAAGCTTGCGCTTGCAAGTTGACGCCATGCAACGGAAGGGTTTGTTGCCGAAGATGACTTTGACATGTACACATGAAAGCACTTTTCGGGCTGAAAGCTTGGATCGAAGACACAACATGAAGGTGTGCGTGGCCGAAGCCTCAACCCGGGATCCAAGTTGACACAAATGTCCCAATGTATCCAAGTTATCAAACCGGAAACCTTGCGTGCCTGCAAAACGACGAGTCTCGCGATCGCCATGAGCAACTCTGGCTTTGGACTCTGAAACCGACGCCCATACGGCTATGGCGCTGTCACCATCACAAGATTAAGTGTAACAGTACTAACATTATAATGATGCTGTCTATAAATATGCCTGAGAATGCCAAGTAGACCGCTGCAGTAGCAGTGTGAGTTCAACATCTTCAAAAGTACGACAGACTGCATCGCAGGTGCTGAAAAGCTTGTTCTTGAGCCGGTCAACAGAAATTTCTCTGAGGTCGCCGCTGACACAGGTGCTTGCTGGAACCGTATGTCCTTAACCCTAAATCCTTCCGAAGTAACATGCACCATGATATACGACTATAGCGGTTGCTAGCAGTAGCAGATTCCTGCCGGCAAGTTTAGGATCCCATTGAAGGTTTAGGGCTGCAGCAGCAGATACACATGCGCATGTTCACGGGGGCTTTTGAGAACCCGGTCTGGGTTAAATCACTGTCTCAAAACTCTTCTACTCCTGGTCCTCCACCCGGTGCTGAAAGCTCCGGCTCAGGCTTCAGGGACCAAAACTAGAAAGCCATTTTTATTCGCCCCACTACTCATTATAAAGTGCTTATTTACTGTCTTCTCCTCTCTTTGAGATACTCACTTACTGGCTGGTGTTTCCTGCCTAAGTTGTGATAACTCGGCAAAGGAAATT